GCAGGGATGGAGAAGACGGAGAGGGGTGGGTCGGGACTGCATCTGAAGGAGGCAGAGAGTCCAAGCAAGACAGTGGGACAAAGAGACTGAGGGTGGGGAGCCGGAGGGAGGAAACTGGGGGAGACCAGGAGGGAGCCCCGAGGAGGAGAGAGAGTGAGGAGGGTCTGGGTGGCGGGAAGCTGCCAGGGCTCAGGGGATGAGGGGATAGGGGCCCACAGAGAGCTGAAGCTCCCTCCCTCTCCCTCTGTCTGTCTGTCTGTCTGTCTCTCACACACACAGAGCTTTCTGCCCCCTCCTGCCCCTTTGTACCTGTCCCCCTCCCACCCACTCCCCCGCAAGTCCTTCTGGGCCCCCGTGAGCCAAGACAGAAGAACAGGCTGGGCTCAGCCAGCAGCAAGAGGGGACAAGATGGCCACACAGAATAAGTGGGGTCAGTCCACACACACACACATACACACACACACACCCTGTCCCCCTCTCCCTCCACAGCACGGTGGCAGTGGCCACCCTGGGCAGATGGTGTCAGGGCACTGCCACACACACACCCTGTCATGCCACCACACACACACACACCTCAGGCCTTGGGCCTCAGCTAGGTTCCTGGCATCTGCTGGGGACATGGGGGGGGGGGGCAGGGGGCAGAGAGACCAGTGAGGGGGCACTGGGCACTTCCTTCCTGCCCCTCTGTGGAGCTGACCTGCCCTCGGCCCGGTCCTTTCCCCTGATCACTGCCCTACCTCCACAGGCCTGTGGCCTGGATCTCCCCTCAGCCACCTGCTCTGGCTCTGAGCCTCCCCCACCCCACCCCCAGGCCCTTCCTCTGCTCCCCGGGCGGTGGCCACTGCAGAGCGAGCAAGGCCTCTTGTTCTCTTTGTCTGCCGGCTCCTTCTGACCGGGAGCATCTCCAGGGCTCTCCCAGTGGCTCTCCTCCCTGCTACCTCTGGGGTGGATTCTGGACACACCGGTACTAGGAAGAACGGGGCGCGCAGGGGCCCCTCTCAGCTGGCTCTTCCCCTGAACCTTGTTCCTTCTCTCTCCCCACCTCCCGCCTCCCCAGCCGCACCAGGCCGCACACCGCTGGGCTCCGCGCAGTCCCAGAGAACCCAGAGACCGAGGTGGAAGCTCAGGGAACACAGCGGCAACCCGCGGGGGACAGAGAGGCCGTGACCCGGGTGAAACCCAAGCGAAGCAAGAAGGACACGGGGGCAGCAGGACGGGACTCCGTGAACCGGACACACCACACGGGTGTCGGGGGACTGGACCCGCTCATCCCTGCTCCCCACAAACGTGGGCCAGAAAGGGCCAGGATCCGGGGGCCCTACTGGGACGAACCCTGAGGACGTCGCTCCACCCCTGGAGCCTGAGCCCACCGACGCCCGCCTCTTCCCCGGGCCCCACGTGCGCGGACAGGAGCACTGGGGCCTTCCCTCACCTCCCGTGGGCCTGTCGGTGAGGCCGGTTACCCGCCGGACCCGGGAGCCAGCCAGAGACGGAGCCACTTTGACCTCCTCCTCAGACAGACAGACATGCCCGAGCCGCCTGGCCCATCTGTACAAACACATCCTGGCGTTCTAGCCAGAGACTTGCCTCTGCGTTCCCCCCCTCCACCAAGCACAGTCCACCCAGGACCTGGGGGCAAGGGAGTACGGCAATCTTGTCAGCTCTAGCCCCTCGCCCTGGGAACACCTGCCGCTGACACACCTGTGCACCTGTGTCCCTGACGGGGGCAGCGAGTCATTGCATAGCCACACCTACCGGCTCACCTGAGCACATGCCCCCGGAGAGCCCGAGGTCACCCCTCTCCTTCTGCAGCCAGTGATGCTCCAAAATTCCCTACCTGGGCCAGTAAGCACAACCTCTCCCCACCCCCACCCCGCTCAGCTCCTGGTGCCCAAGCACGCAAGACTCCCCCGGGGTGTGGGGGGGCACCCTAATTCCTAAGTCTGAGTCGGCTCTGTGACCCGAGGGCTCCCAGCCCCCCCCCACAAGGCTACCGTGCCATTTTGCAGTTGGACAGAAGGACAGAGACACTGGCCAGGCGGAGGGTGCTGACCAGGTGGGAGTCTGAGGCCAGCCTCTGCAGCCCCCGCCGCACAGCCGCAGGGCAGAGAAGAGCCCAGAGTGGGACCCCATCCCATCCCATCCCCGCGCTCACTCAAACCATCACTTGCTCCCGAGTGTCCAGATCCGCCACCCCTTCTCCCTAAGACACCTCCCTCCACCTCTGCCTCTCCTCACCCGGCACTTTGCAGCCCTCTCACCACCCGGGATCTGTCAGGAGTCTCAATCCACTGGGCCCCCAGCCCGGAACCCCCAGAGGCTCCTCTCTGTCTCCAGACAGCATCCTACAGGGCCTGTCACTCCCGAAAACACCGGAAGGAATAAATGGATGACCGTAGACGTCTGAGTCGTCCCTTCTTTACTGACAGGGGAAGATGACCTCCTGAGTCTTTCCCCAAGGGCCAGGGGCTGCAGGCCGCCCCCTCCCCCACCCTGGAGCTTCTATGATGTTGGATGCAGAGGGTATAATCAGACAGGACGGCAGGGCTCGGGAGGGGAGGGGACCCAGCGTGGCAGCAGGGCGCCCTTCCCGGAGAGCTGCCAGAGGGAGAGGAAGAGAAAGCTCAGACAAGGTGGAGGGGGAGGGCCAGGGAGAGGAGGGGGCATGGAGGAGCGCCCCCAAGCATGTGTGGGACATTCACCTTCCAAGGGAGCCTAGGAAGGAGGGAGCGTGGGGCCCAGGCGCACTGTCTGTCGTGGTGGTTGCTTTGCAGTCAGCATTGAACACCAGGAAGGGGCGCTGAGCCTGCTCACCACCGGGTCAGCAGTTCAAAACCACCACCCGTCCTCGGGGAGAAAAAACGAGGCTTTCTATTCTAAAGAGGCACAGGGCCAGTTCTACCCTGTCCTACGGGGTTGCTCTGAGTCAGAATAGACTCACAGTGGATTTGGGGCTTCGCTTCAAAAGAGGGTGGTCTCATGATGCAGGGCTGCCACCATAGGGGCGCTGAAGGTTTCCGGGAAGGAGCCACCGGAGGCCACTTGGGAATATTTTGGAAACCACCTTCGAGGTCAGAGCCCCATCAACCAAGTGTCTCGTGATTCTATCCCTGTGTCTACTTTCCACCGACAAAATGACAGCAAGGGGGCCCCCCTGTATTATCCGAAATGTCTCAGGAGCCACCCTACAGACAACTGCTGATGCTCCCCCAAGTCAAATTCACTCCCAGAGCCCCACGATTCACCCCTCTCGAGGAGATTCACTGCCCGCTCCCCACCCCACCCCCCAACAAAACGTGGGCTGCGCAAGATCGGCGGCTCCAAACCACCAGGTCCTGTGAGAGAGAGTGAGGAGGTCCTCCTGCCGCAAAGAGCGACCGTCTCATAAACCCACAGGGGCCCTTCTGCCCCGTCCCACTAAGCGTCGGCATCGACCGGGTGGCAGCGAGTGTGGGTTTGAGGGTTGCGGGGTACCCCAAGGGAAAGAATGAGCGCCTCGAGTTTGGGCCAACCGGTGTTCAAATCCTGCCTCTCCTGTTCTCTGGCCGGATGACCGTAAGCAAGTCATCCTCCCTCTCTCGGCCCCCACCCCATTCACAGGGCTGCCGAGAGGGTCCAACTCCAGATGCCGGGGCAGGCCCACAGCTGCCTCGCCTTTGGTTTTTAGCGTATCACTGTCCTCGGCCAGTGTTACCTAGGAAGGTGAAGGACTGAAAACAGAGGCCTGACGCACACTCCAGACCACCCCCCAGCCAAGCCCTCTGCTGCTTCAGCTAAATGTCGAGGCGTCCCTCCGAGCCAGGTCCCCACGCCTGCTCGCCCTACACCCGGGACACACCCTGGCCTTCTCTTGAGCCTTAAAGGAAACCCACACCTCGGGTTCCCTGGGGGCAAGGGCACCACCGCCCCTAACGCTGACTCCACCCACCCCACCCACCCCCCGACTGCCAACACAAACAAGAAGGGGGGTGGTCCCCAGAGGAGCTTCAGGGGCCTGGGAGCATCCTGGCATGGCAGGCACCGTGGAGTGGGGATGGCTTTTTCAGGAGTTCCGGGTGCACGGTGATCGGCGCGAACTCCAGGAGCCAGGCTCTGAGGATGGGCTCTGCAAACCCTGGTGGTGGCGGGCAGCAGGTTTCTCAGAGGGGCCGATTTCACCCTCCTAGCCTCCCCGAGTGGTTCACAAACCAAGCCCAACCCACTGCCATCGGGTCCACGCAGACTCACAGCGGCCCTGGAGAGCAGGGCAGGGCAGGGGTGCCCTGGTGGGTCTCCAAGGCGGAGGTCCCTATGGGAGTGGAAAGCCCCTTCTACCTTCCAAGGAGTAGCTGGTGGTTTTGAACTCTGAGCCGCGTGGATCGCAGCCCAATGCGTAACCCACTTTGCTGCCAGGGTCTCTGCCCATCGATGGCACTGCTTTGAGAAATGGGGATACGGAGCCCAGGAGCCCACAGCTGGCACAGAGGGCCCAGAGAATCCCAACGCCCCTCGTTAGTTGTCTTCCACACATCCTCTTGGCCTCAGGGCAGTCTTGGAAATCTCGCTCAAGGCCATCAACTCCCCATGACCGACAGGACAGGGTAGAATGGCCCCTGTGGGTTTCCCCAGGCTGCAACTCTTTCTGAGAGCAGAGAGCCTCTGCTTTCTTCTGTGGGGCGGATGAGGGTTTCCCACTGCCGACTTTACGGTCAGCAGCCCAACGGCTAACCCCCTCTGCGACAGGGGCTGCGGTGTGGAGGTAGCCACGCCCACTGTTCCCGTTTGACGGACGTCATCAGCACAAAAACCCACGGCCACCAACACGCAGAACCACTGGTGTGGTCAGGAAGCTGCCAGGCGGCAAAGAGCCTAGTCAGACTAACGGATGCTAGTCTTGAGGAGGGCAGGGGTGGAGCCCGGAGGGGCAGGAGCCCCAGGGCTGGGCCCTGGAGGAGGGTGGGAGCACCCTGCACAGCAGCAGGCTCCACGCACTCGACTCCCGGGCAGGTTGCGGCCCTTACCTTTTGGGCAGACGCAGCACAGCTAATACATTCAGGCCACCAACCCGGTCCAGTTGAGAACCTAGAAAAAGAAGAGGATGCTGTCAGCAAGCGTGGCCCAAGGAGAGGACCCGGGCCCTGGCCCTGGCCGCCGGTAAGTCACAGGGAGGAGAACTGGGGGGACAGGTGGCTGGGGTTCCGGGTCCTCCTGGCACGTATTGCCTTCGGTGATCATTCCCCGGCTTTCTCTCTGTGTTCCCATCTCTTAAATGGGCAGATGGTTACCACCTGTGTCCCCCATCTGACTGGACGCTCCTTGAAGGGCAGGGGCTCCGTCTTGTAGCTTTAGTTTTTGGCACCGTCTGGCTAAAGCAGCGGTTCTCAACCTGTGGGTCACAACCCTTTTGGAGGTCGAAGGACCCTTTCACAGGGGTCGCCCGATTCATCACAGTAGCAAAATGACAGTGATGAAGCAGCAACGAAAATAATTTTATGGTTGGGGGTCACCGCCACATGAGGAACTGTATGAAAGGGCCACGGCATTAGGAAGGTTGAGAACCACTGGGCTAGAGCAAGCTATTCAGTGAGTGCAGGATGGATGGGTGGGTGGATGGATGGGTGGACAGGTGGACGGGTGGACGGGTGGATGGATAGACTGTGCATCTCAGAAGATTTCTTCTGGAAAGACTATATGAGAAATTTGAGAGGGTTACTCATTATTAGATGCCCATGTACTAGGGATTACACAAACAGAGGAGGCCTAGTGGCATCGGGCTTCTAACCACAAGGTCAGCGGTTCGAAACCACCCGCTGCTCTGTGGACGTTAAAGGAGATGCCCTACGCCCATCAAGAGCTGCAGCTCTTCTCCGTCCTGTAAGGTCGCTCGGAGTCAGAGTCAGCTCCATCGCAGCGAGTCTATTTGAGTTTGGCCCCTCAAATCAGGAGCCCTGGTGCCATGCATGACCACCAAGGTTAGCAGTTCAAAACCACCAGCCGCTCCTCAGCTTTCCACTCCCGTCAAGAGCTACAGTCTCTGGGGGGAAGAGTGACAGGCTCAGAATCCCACCGGAGCAGTTCTATCCCGTCCTCGGTTTGGCAGCAGCGTCTGGTGCGGTGGAGAGATGCGATTTCTGACTTGCACATGAAGCCACCCATTTACTCAATCCATACATCAGCAGAACTTGAGGCTTCTCTGCGCTGCCCTGGGTGCCGAGGGTGGCAGTTCAGAGATAGACCCGACACAGGCCCTGCCCTGTCCGCCTACTCAGGAGGAGAGAGGGGCGAGCTGGCAGAGACAAGAGAATGTGGTGGGAATTGTGGAGAAAATCCAGAGACTCGGGAGGGGAGCCCTTGACACCTGAGCAGAGGCTGGATGGCAAATGCATGTGGGTCAGGCCAGGGGCAGGAAGGACAGCGCCAGGCCTGGGGGCCCCAGGCCCAGCGAGCGCTTGGGGAGGGATAAAGCGGCGGACGTGGCAGGAAGTGGACCCTGTAGGGTCTTGGCACCTGCTCCGCTCGGCTGGGCATTCACCCGGGAGGCTTTCAAATTGTCCTTCTGGCTCAAAGTCATCAAAGGCTTACTGGCCGGGGAGAGACTGGCGTAACCCGCGAGGTCAGGCCCCTTAGTCGCCCTCCAGGTCTGGAAATGACCGCACCCCCCATGGGCTCAAGTTTCAGGCAAACCCACATGGGGCTCTAAGGGCACCTCTAGCAATAAGGAGGTATGCACACCTTAGAATCAACTCTTGGAGACCCAAAGGGCAGCGTCTGGCCAAGGACCAAGTTCAGAAGGGCTGGGAGGGAAGGAGACTGGGAAGTGGGAATCCCAGGGAGGGCGTGGGATCGAAGATGCCGCGGGGTAGGGACTGCCATCCGAGTTGTGACACAAAGCGGGTCTGAATCATGGAATGGACAACCACTGGTCTACGCGGCCGGCCCTCACCCAATTCACAATAGGAACGTTTAAAGAAGATCCCTCCAAGCACGGAGGAGTAAGTGGAGAAGATAGAGAAGTGACAGGAAGTGGGGATCCCCCCCCCCAACAAGTGCCTAGGCTACAGGTGCCACCGGTGAGACTGCAGGAAGGGCTTCCTCGGGCCTTGTCTGGTTCGGAGAGGGCAGCGTGAAACAGAGAGCCCCGGTCTGTGTACCTTCCACTAGAATCGGGGTTCCCCACCTTCTCGGGGAGCATCGGCTCCTTGGAAAAGCACTGGTCTTCCAGAGGGTCCCCACCATCACCACCCTGCCCTGCTTGCTGTGGGCCAGGGAGGGGCTTTCAGGAGGAGGACTTCCGGCCAGGCCAGGCACACGTGGCCCTGAGGAGCGGGCGGCATGGTCCACCGGAAGCTTCGGCTGAGAAAGGACAAACTGTGCGCTGGCTCACACAGCATGCCCGTCAAAGTCTGCCCGGGTCGGGGCTGGCGATGAGGTGGCCGGGATCCACATGGACTAAGCATGATGACCATGCTTGTAGCTCACAACAAATCAGATGAGGAGTTGGGAGGCCCAGGACACAACGAACTTGCCGGGTGGGGGGCAGAAAATAGCGGGGTCCAGGGCAGCAGAGGGAAGAGAAGACCGAGGTGGAGGGGAGGAAACAGAGAGGGAGAGAGACCCAGGAGAAAGAGAACAAGGAAAAGGGGGGACGGGGGAGCAGCCACGCAGAGAGGGAACAGAAGGGGTGTGAGCGCCCAGTGGGGGGACGGGGGGCAGGCAGAGAGCCAGAGGAAAACCCTGAACTGAAAGAAAAAGGGGACAAGAATAGGGGTCTGCCTCCGCCACCCCTCACCCCCCCTCTCCACCCGGCGCGCTCTGGCAGTAGGGGTCCAGGGGCAGTAGGGGCCCAGGGACCCTGACTGAGTGGGGGGAGCTGGGGGTGCTCCCCCCTCAGGGGCTGACCCCCCGCCCGCCCTCCCCCTCCCCACAGCTAATCAGCAGCTGTCATCCACACGGTGAGGTCTTGGTTAAGGAGATTTAGGGCCGGGATCAATAGGAAATTTAAAAATCGATGCAGCGCGCAGGGCAAAATCAATGGCGTTTAATCGCCTTGCCGATTCCCAGTCAAAACAATTAGCCGCACTGAGTGTTGAACACGGTGGCGACACGGCATTAACCGTCAATATTGGTGTAAGTGACGGCGGGGGCGGGCGGGGAATCCCAGGGCTCTGAGGGCCCAGGATCAGCCCGAGCCTCAGGACCTGGGTCTTCCCCGAGGCAGGGTCCCCACGTCAGCACCGGGACTTCCCTCCAGCAGTGCCCCCCACAAATACTTCCATCTCTCCCTCTGCCCCCTTAGTTGTGGTGCCCACGGGCCAGTGCCACCCCGGCTGTGTCCCAGGCTCCCTTGCTCCTCTGCCCGCTCTCCCACGGAGCAGGTCTCTGCCCTGCCTTCAGCGACCCCTCTCCTAAGCAGCCAGCCCCCCCGCAGCCACCCTCTCCGAGCGCAGCCAGGGGAAAGTGGGAGTTGTACTCCCCACAGAGCCTGGCGCCTGGGAGATGATTGGGGTGAGAGCTACAGGCCAGTGGCCTTCTCCCCTTTTTCCGGATGGGGATTCTGAGGCAGGGAGGCCCACGGGCACCCAGCCCGGGCACGGACATGGGCAGAGATTTGCCTTGGGCTTTGTCTGCTTAAAGGCTCGCCTCTAGCGGTGCCAAGATTCCGAGAAGAGCAGGAAGCCCGGGGTTTGGACCCGGGTCATCTGATCAGCCTGTGGGTCACGCGTCCATCCGTCGAGCTGTGAACTGCAGGGCTGGTGATTCAAACCCACCGATGAGCCCGTCTGCTCCCATAAAGAGTGACAGCCTCGGAGATTCAACCAAGCAGGGGTGGCAGCATCTGGCCTGATGGCCATAGAAGGTCCAGGAAGTCATCCACGCCAGCTCACGGCCAGCCGTGATGCAAACTCCCTGCTGACTCACAGCGACCCTCTAGGACAGGGCAGAGCTGCCTCTGCGGGTTTCTGGGACTGTGTCGCCCTTTATTAGGAGTAGAAAGCCTGGCCGCTCTCCCTCAGAGCAGCCGGTGGTTTCGAACTGCTGCTCTTGAGGCTCACAGCCCAGTAGGTAACCCACTGGACCCCAGGGCTCCACGGGGAGGGGGGGGGGCACCAGGTGGGTGGAGTGTTGTTAATGAAATGTTTGAGCAGATATAGCAGGCAGATGTTTAAGCTGATCGGTTTGCAAGTGGGCAGGCGATATTATCAATATCCAAGTGGTCTGCGGCAGAAGAAAGGCCCCCACCCCTGCTATACAGAGTGGACGTGAGCTGGAACCGGCTCGGTGGAAGCGGGTTTGTGGGGCTTCACGTCCCGGCTGAGTGCGCCCACAGCACAGACTGCCCACCCACACCCGCACGGAGGGACAGGTGGCTGAGCAACCGGGGTCCAGGGGCATGTCAGCATGGACCGGTCAGCACAGTGGCCCTGAAGGGGCACCGTGATAGCCTTTGGGGGATACCATTCTCATGGCCCGCATGAACAGAGACCCAGAGAAGAGGCATGAATGCCCCAAGAGGGGTGCGATTCGGGGGGGGG